CCCAGCCCTGACCCCCTCCGACAGACCGCCCAGCCCTGACCCACCCCGACAGACAGCCCCAGCCCTGACACCCCGCAGACAGACAGCCCCAGCCCTGACACCCCACAGACAGCCCCAGCCCTGACACCCCCCAGACAGACAGCCCCAGCCCTGACACCCCCCAGACAGACACACACAGCAGCAGGGTCGGGGCGACACCCACCCCATGCCAAGCTCCCTCCAGGGCCTAAGCCTGGCCAAGGCCAGGAAGTCAGAGCTGTCTGCAGGGTCAGGCTCTGGGCTGGAAGTGCTGGGGGCCAGATCTCCTGGCCTGTGCTGGGACAGCTGCTCCGGGGGCTCCCTGCCCTGGGGAGGAGAAGGGACTGGTTTGGGGATTCTCCCCCTGGAATGGCAGTTGGGCAGGGCACCATCAGGGCTGCACCCCAGGATGCTGGTGCCCATGGGGGGCTGGCGCCCTGGAGGCTGGTCCCTGGGGGTGTACCTGGCACTGGTGCCTATGCTCCCGCAGGCCTTTGGTGGGGTTCCCACACAGGACTTGGCCAGCACCTGCGGGAGACAGCATGGCTGGGCCTAGTTCGGGGCCGAGGGGCTGCAGGGTCAGCTTTCAGGCGCATCAGTTACCATGGGTGAGGCTGCTGGTATTATCTTCTGGGGCTGGGTCCTCAGAAAGCAGGCCTTCAGGCAGGGGGCCCCCAGGGACCAGCAGCGCGAAGGGCCAGGGCCTGGAGGTTCGGGGCTGCGTCTCAGGCAGGGACAGCTCAGGGTCAAGTCTCCGGATGGGGCCTCCGTGGGGACAGTCTGCCCGAGGGTCAGAAGCAGAGGTCAACCAAGGCCCAGTCCAGCTGGTCAGCCCAAGAGCCGGCCCCAGACTCTGTCCACAGGCCAGGGAGCCCGACACCCACGCTGCGTGGCCAGAGACTGGCCTCTGACGCTGCTGCCTTCTGGAGAGGCCCTCCCCTCCAGATCCTCCTCTCCCACTGTGGGCTGCTCAGAGACAGTGTCCTGGACTCTGGGGACCAGGGGTCAAGGGTGGGGGAGGGCCTGAGACGTGGCTGTCCATCTCTGAGAGTCCCAGGGTGGGGCCTCTTCCTGCGGGGAGCTGGGGCTCAGCAGTGGGTCCTCCGGGCAGTTGCCTGGGGTTGTCATACCCAGCTGGGGGAGGCCGTGGCCCTTCTTGATGGCCTCCTTCACCGCAAGCCAGTCCTGGCTCAGCCGCAGGCAGGACGGTGGGCCTGTGTGCGTGGCCGGAACTTCGTCCAGGACCCGAAGCTGGGGGATGAGCTTCCTCACTGCGGCCCTGTAGTCGTAACCCCTGGGCACCTGCAGGCGGATGGGGAGGGAGGGCAGGTCTGGGTCAGGTGGGCCCTTCAGGCCAGCTCTTTCCCAGGCTCCCTCTTCCAGACCCACTGTGGGGCAGGGCAGGGGCAGAGGTGGTGATGCTGCCCTGCCCTGCTGGGGCGGGCATGGGTCACTCTCAGACCCCAGGGACTTCAGGGATGGGCTCTCACCCACTCAGGATGCAGGACCCCACTCTCCAGACCCAAGGCTGTGGCCAGGGATGCCCTCTGGCCCACGGAGCTGCCCTGAGCTCAGGGCTCTGTTCCACAGAGCAGTAGCCACCGGCAGTGGTGGATGCTGACCCCAGCATGTGGCAGCACCAAGCGGCAGCTAATGAGGCCAGCGCTGTGAGCTCAGGGCGAGGGTCTGCGAGCTCCTCCAGGGCCTGCACACACCTGTGCCGGCTCGAAGCAGTGCACGCACAGGCTGCACGGGGAGGTGATGTGTGCATAGCGTGGTCTCCGGGGCCCGTGGGGACGGACGTGGCTCTGGACAGGGCGTACACAGATGTGTGCACAGGGTGGTCTGTGGGGTCTGTTGGGCCGGGCGTGGCTCTGGACGGGGCACACACAGGTGTGTGCACCTCTGTGTATATAATTCTGTGTGTTTCCGCGTGGCTTGTGTGTGGGCCTTACGGGTGCATACGTGGGTTGAGGGACATGACATACTTGCAGGTGACCCTGTGGGATCTGGGAGGGCTGGCCCAGGAGGACGCCCTGGGAGCTGTCAGACTTCTGGTGACAGACGAGATGAGCTCTTGGTGAACAGGCCACAGGGCACAGGTGGGCACAGAAATCCCTGCCAGAGGGAGGGGCCCAGGGCTGGAGCCACAGGGAGCCTCCCATTGCCATGCACACGCTGGCCGGGTGCCCGGACATGCACCTTGTTGGCGGGGCCGGGGGCCGGCTGCAGGCACACCAGGTTGCCCTCCAGGGTGAGGGTGGCCAGGCGAGGGCACAGCTGCAGGAAGCGCACCTGCCCCAGGTCCTCCACGCTGTTGCCCTCCAGGTCTAGCAGCTCCAGTTGCTCCAGCAGGCACAGCGGGCTCAGGTCTGAGATGTTGTTGTAGGAGGCGTAGAGTTCCTGGGCAGCGCGGGACTCTGAGCCAGGGTCCAGCCCGGCCCTCCCCAGCCCAGGGTGCCCAGACTCACCTTCAGCACTGGCAAAGCGGCGATGCCATCCAGGTCAGTGAGGCCACAGCGAGCCAGCCACAGCACCCGCAGGTGGCCCAGAGATGTGCCCAGGTCCCTGCAGAAGGCAGGGCTTGGTGGTCGACATGGTGCCCAGCACGGTGCCCAGCCACCACCAGCCCATGGCTGCCTCCAGGGCAGGGGCAGGTGTCACCTCGCATGGTGGCCTCTAGGCTGCGGAAGAGGGTCTCTGCCTTTCCCTCTTGGCTCTGCTGTGGGTACATTGTCCCCCTCCTTCTCCGAGCCCTGGAGGGCCTGGCCTGGGGAGCTGCCCTCTGTTGGGGGGGAACCCCACAAGAGCCGAGGCAAGGGTCTGAAGCCTCAGTATGTTCTCACATAAACATAGAATTAGAAAAGAATTAGAGATACAGTTACGTAGTTATTCTTATATACCTAATCGTAAGTAATCACATAGAAATTCTTATGTAATCATAAACATATACACGTATGCAGTCACATAATCTTTCATCTTACTGAGTCTCGGGTCAGGAAGCATGGGACTGAAGTGGCATTGGAAAAGAGGTGACCCTAAGGCAAGATGCCCTAAGCCCGCTGTCCTGCCCGCATAGGGGCTGCTGGAGGACGCCCGGCTGTGTGGCAGTGCCCGCGCCGGGAAAGCGCCCGCTGTTTAGCCAGCTAGGGAAGGAGACGTCCTAGACGGCCCAGACGAGATGTCCCTGTCCTCAGGGGAGTGAGGAGGAAACGCCGCTGCTCCAGGCTCTTGTGGTGGGCCTGGCGGCTGTGGGGGACGCCCGCGGACATCCAGGGACTTAATGGTCTCTGTGTGGCGCTGGGCCTCCGTGGTCGTGCTCCATGGCTACTTCCAAGTTCTGCTTCTGCACCTGGTTCCTCTTTTCCTCAGAAGAATCAGGAATAGTAACATAGACCGTAGCGACCTTGTTCTTTCCCGACAAGAATGAAGGAAGTGCCGTCCTCAGGTTTTCTCCTCGTCTCGGCTTCTTTAAAGTCCTGGGCCCCTGTCTCCAAGAAACGTGATTTTCCTGACCCTGCCACTGACCCCCATGACCTCGCCCTACCTGCCCTGCCCCCTGCTTTGTGCTCCGTAAAAGTCAGAGCGTCCAGGCACTCGGGCGCTGCCGGGCTCCGCGCTTTGGTGGGCAGTGGACCCCTGGGCCCAAACTCTGTTTTCTCTTTCTCGGTGTCTTGTGTCTTTTATTTCCGCAGTTTCTCGTCTCCACACCTGCAGAGGGGCACTCACGGGACCCTGTAGGGCTGGACACTAGACCCTCACGGCGGGTGGCTCAGCCACACCCCACCTGCTGCCACCGCTGCCCTTCCCCGGCGGGTTGCAGCCATCACAAGGTCTCTCTTTCTGATGATCCCCTCGGTAACTTTGGGGGCACTCGAATTCGGAGACAGGGTCTGGAAAGCTGCCTGGGAGCCTGAGCCCCTGGACACTGAGGTGGAGGGGCTTTGCTGGGGGCTGACCCCGTGCTGAGCTGGCAGGTTTGGTGGGGAGCAGCTGCTGGAGCTGGCGTGGGTCAGGGCGGCTCGTCATGTGCGGGGACACGTTGCTTCCAGCCGGGACCCACGGCCTCTGTCCGCTCTGTCCCCCTCTGCAGCCGCACTGATTTCAACCACGCGCTGTCCCGGGACCCTGCGCCTGCCCCTTTCTGCGCCGCCGTGCTGTCTCCGAACGCCTCCTTGTGAAAGCGTCACCCAAGCTCCCAGGCTGTCCCCCACTGTGGCCGGATTCCTCCAGGGCTGGGTGGTTCCTTGCGACGCTCTCCAGCTCACAGCGCTGTGCCTACCTGGGTGTCACTTCCTTCTGTGGCCTGCCAGGGGCACTCCCTGTGGTCCGTCCACCTTCGGTGCGTGGAGTCAACATCTATCCTCAGCCTGCTGCCTTACGTGGCTTTTCCACTCAGCTCTTAATCGGCTGGGATTTGTGTCTAGTGATTTCTCCAAGAGCGGTTAATGGAAGCTCCTTGATCTCTGACTCATGCGCAGATGGCTCCTGGCTGGGAGCTTCTGAAGCCATTAGGCTGCGCATCGCACCATCTTCCCGGGAGGCTGCTGAGGCTTTTGTTCCAGTGTCCACTGTGGGGACGTCTGAGGAGCACTACGTTTTTTCTGTCCTTAAAAAGCCAGCTCTCGGGTGCAGTGGCTCACACCTGTAATCCCAGCACTTTGGGAGGCTAAAGTGGGTGGATCACCTGAGTTCGGGAGTTCGAGACCAGCCTGGCCAGCGTGGCGAAACCCTATCTCTACTAAAAATACAAAAATTATCCAGGCGTGGTGGTAGGCACCTGTAGTCCCAGCTGCTTGGGAAGCTGAGGCAGGAGAATTGCTTGAACCAGGGAGGTGGAGGTTGCAGTGAGCCAAGATTGCGCCACTGCACTCCAGCCTGGGCAACAGAGCAAGACTCCGTCTCAAAAAAACAAAACAAAACAAAACTTGAGGCCGGCCACAGTGGTTCACGCCCGTAATCCCGGCACTTCAGGAGGCTGAAGTGGGAAGAGCACTTGAGCCCAGGAGGTGGAGGCCGTGGTAAGCCATGGTCACACCACTGCACTCCGGCCTGGGAGGCGGAGTGAGACCCTGTCTCAAAGGAAAAAGAAGACAACTCGATCTCTTTTCTTGGCTGCCCCAAATTTTTGCCTTTATGTTCAAGCCGGTAACTTTATTAGGACGTGTTTCAGTGCCAACGATTCAGTTTGTTTTTCCTTTCGGTCTGTAGCTAGACGTCTTTTATTTCTGACAAGTTCCTTTGAATATATACATGTTTTTTGAGACAGAGTCTCATTCTATTGCCCAGGCTGGAGTGCAGTGGTGTGATTGCGGCTCACCGCAACCTCCTCCTCCCAGGTTCAAGCGATTCTCCTGCCTCAGCCTCCCGAGTAGCTGGGATTACAGGTGTGCACCACCATGCCCAGCTAATTTTTGTATTTTTAGTAGAGATGGGGTTTCACCATGTTGGCCAGGCTGGTCTTGAACTCCTGACCTCGTGATCCACCCATCTTGGCCTCCCAAAGTGCTGGGATTACAGGCGTGGGCCACTGCGCCCGGCCCTTGCCTGAGATTTTAATACACTTAATAGCTGTGATCAGCTAAGTTACAATAGTATTTCATTGGATCATCTTACCTTTTTTTTTCTTTTTTCTTTATACAGAGTCTTGCTCTGTCTCCCAGGCTGGAGGGCAGTGGTGCAATCTTGGCTCACTGCAGCCTTTGCCTTCCAGCTTCAAGTGTTTCTCCTGCCTCAGCCTCCAGAGTAGCTGAGATTGTCAGCATGGGCCACCATGCCCAGCTAATTTTTGTATTTTTAGTAGAGATAAGGTTTCACTATGTTGGCCAGGCTGGTCTGGAACTCCTGACCTCAGGTGATCCACCCTCCTCAGCCTCCCAAAGTGCTGGGGTTACAGGTGTGAGCCACCGTGCCTGGCTTTCTTTTACATTTTCTTTTTTTTTTT